TTCCTTCCAACTCTGGCAGAAAGCACGTAAATTCCAGGGACGACTCAAGAGAAACAGAGTGTAAGCTGTCAAATCAGAAGATGTCAGCATCAATCTTGCAGAATAGAATCACTAAGTGACACGAAGGCACTGTGTCATACTATAATCCACAGTGTTTTCTTCTTTCCTGACAGTCGAAATAACATAAACCTTAATTGATGGCATCTTCGATTCAGGACGATATGGTCTACTAAAACAAGTACACTCTAAAAGGCAAAGTGAACAAAAGTCCTTTCAAACACTGAGCTCCCGTATAATATTTCAGTTTTGATAGCCTGTCTTAATTTATGTTTGTGAATGAAGGACAGAATCTTAAAACTACAACGTTTGGCATTATCCCTATTAGCTTGCCATCAAAAACAAAGAACCATTTTCCTTGTTTGCTGAACCGCGAATGGTGTAAGAGAGAGTTCAACCCTGAGAGTTCAATCCTTTCCAACAATGAAGCCTAAAATGGGATCTTTCAAGTGGAAGGCAGCCTTGTACAGAGGCAGAAGCCCACACCAAGGGGCCATGGCTAGGGCAGCTCAAGGAGCCCGGAGCCTGGCCTCTGGACCAGCACCAGGGGGCCACAGCCCGGACTCAGCAGGCCAATGGGTGCGTCCCACACGTCAACACACAACATGCCTGGTACCTTGAGTGGATACGTCCTAAAAACTCACAAGATGTAAACATCAGTCTATAAAAGTCTACGCTGTCTCCTCCATGTCCTCCAAAACTATAGGTTCCTTCACGTGACTGGTTCTTATCTGGATCATGCTCCCCCACATACCCAAGTCTCATCCTCTCGTGCTTCTCTCTGGCTGGACCCCATTTTCCTGCCCCATCAACACACCTGTTGTTGCTCTCCCATCCTTTCTCTCTCTCTCTCAACTGGGAATCATGCTCAGGTAAATACTACTCTATATTGTTTCCTGAACTTTTTAGAGTTTGTACGTTTCTTGTAACTTTAAAGAAAACAGACCACAGTTTTGTCTTTCAAAAATACTTAAATTCATTTTCACTACTGAGGGACATGGCTAACTGTTGGAGGATAGACACGTAGGCCAATGGAATGGAACTGAGGGACCAGAAATAAACACAAATGTCTATGGCCAATTTTTTTTTTTTTTTTTTGACAAGGCCATTCATTGGGGAAACAGTCTTTTCAACAAATGGTGCTGGAACCACTAGATATCACATGCTAAAGAACAAAGTTAGACCCCTATCTCACACCATATACAAAAATACTCCAAATGGGTCAACCTAAATATAAGAGCTAAAAGTGTAAGACTCTCAGAAGAAAACACAGAGGTAAATCTTTTTTTTTTTTTTTTTAAAGATTTTATTTATTTATTTGACAGAGAGAGACACAGCGAGAGAGGGAACACAAGCAGGGGGAGTGGGAGAGGGAGAAGCAGGCTACCCGCAGAGCAGGGAGCCCGATGCGGGACTCAATCCCAGGACCCTGGGATCATGACCTGAGCTGAAGGCAGTCGCTTAACCAACTGAGCCACCCAGGCGCCCTCACAGAGGTAAATCTTAATGACTCTGGATTTGATGATGTTTTCTTAGAGCAAAAGCATGAGTAACAAAAGAAAAAAAAACACAAACTGGACTTCTTCAAAGTTAAAACCTTTTGTGCATCAAAGGACAATATCAAGACAGTGAAAAGACAAACTACAGAATGGTGGGAAATATTTGCAAGTCACGTATCTGGTAAGACTAGTATCCAGTATATATATAAAGAACTCCTACAACTCAATAAAAAGATAAACAGCCCAATTAAAAAATGGGCAAAGGATCTGAACAGACATTTTCCATAGAAGATATACAAGAGCACCTGGCTGCCTCTGTTCATAGAGCGTGTGGCTCTTGATCTCGGAGTCGTGAGTTTGAGCCCCACACTGGATGCAGAGATTACTTAAATAAATAAAAATTTTTAAAAAACCACAAAGAAGACATACAAATGGCCAATAAACATATGAAAAGATGCTCAACATCATTAGTCATCAGGAGAATACAAATCAAAACCACAATGGGGTACCACTTTATAACCACTAGAATGGCTATAATCAAAAAAGAAATGTCAGTAAGGATGTGATTGTGAAGAAACTAAAAATCTTATACATTCCTAGTTACAATGTAAGTGCTGTAGCCACCCTGGAAAACTGTTTGGCAGTTCCTCAAAATGTTAAATGCAGAATTACCATATAATCAAGTAATTCCAATCCTAAGTATATATCTAAGAAATGAAAGATATGTCCACCATAAGAGCCTATGTCCACTTAGAAACTTGTACATGAATGTGCATAGCGCAGTATTCACAACAGTCAGAAGATGGAAATGACCCAAAGGTTCATCAACACAGGAATGGATAAATAGTGGTATATACATATAATGGAATAATATTCGGCCATCAAAAGGAATGAGGTCCTGGTACATGCCACCACGTTGATGAACCTCAAAAGCATTACACTAAGTGAACGAAGCCAACACAAAAGGCTCCGTATCGTATGGATCCCCTGTATATGAACTGTCCAGTGCAGGCAAATCCAGAGTCAGAAAGCACATGAGTGGCTGCCAGGGAATTGAGGGAGGCAGGAATGGGGAATGATTACTTAACGAGTACAGGATGTTCTTCTGGAGTGACGACAAAGCTCTGCACAGAGGTGACAGTTGTACAACAATGCGTGACTACATGCCACCAAACTGTTTGTCTTAAACTGGTTAATTTTTATGATACGTGGATTTCACCTCAATGAAAAAAAAAAAAAAAAAAACTGAATATGCCTGCTTATCTGGTCTCCCTAAGGAAAGCTACAGGTTACAAAAGGGGACATCTATATGAAACCAATACTGGGCGCCTGGGTGGCTCAGTTGGTTAAGCGACTGCCTTCGGCTCAGGTCATGATCCTGGAGTCCCGGGATCGAGTCCCGCATCGGGCTCCCTGCTCAGCAGGGAGTCTGCTTCTCCCTCTGACCCCCCCCCCCCCATGCTCTCTCTATCTCATTCTCTCTCTCAAATAAATAAATAAAATCTTAAAAAAAGGGGCACCTGGGTGGCTCAGTCGGTTAAGCGACTGCCTTCGGCTCAGGTCATGATCCTGGAGTCCCAGGATCGAGTCCCGCATCGGGCTCCCTGCTCGGCGGGGAGTCTGCTTCTCCCTCTGACCCTCCTCCCTCTCGTGCTCTCTGTCTCTCCTTCTCTCTCACAAATAAATAAATTAAATCTTTAAAAAAAAAAAAAAAAATCTTAAAAAAAAAAAAAGTGAGAATACTTTATATGAAACCAATACTAACAAATGGCCAGAATCCAGGATAAAAACCAGAATGCCTGTAGCTCAGAAAGAAGCACACACAAAATCAGTGAAGAACAAACAAAAGTGCATTAAGGGCCTTTTCACAGAACAGGAAATATATGGAGAGATGCTCAACTTCTTATGTCATCAGAGATCTATCCATTGAAGTGACACCAAGACACCACACCATAGCCATTCAACTGGCAAAAATCGTAAATTCTGGTAATGTAAGTATTGAAACAAGATGGATCCACAGACTACCTTGTTGCCCTGATGCTGGGAATGTAAGTTGGCATAACTGCTTTGGGAAAAATTAAACACACACGCCATGCCACCTCGCAACGCTCCACTAGGTATATGGCGGCAATAAACGTCTGCTGACGCACCACGGGACACACAGACAAGAGCGCTCACGGGAGCTCTACCACAACAGCAAAAACCTTACGGATAAACTGTGATAGAGCTGCACGGTATCTCTCGGTAGTCAAATGGATGCACTGTGACACACGACATAGAGGAAGCTTACTAATGTCACATCAAGTGAAAAATTCCCCCCAAAATAACACGATTTGATTCATTTTTTATAAAGTTAAAAAAATATGTATTTTGTGTTTTTGTCTTTGAATAGTATCTCTATGTGGATGTATGTATGAGATAAGACCATATACAAAGAAATTAAGAGAAGGACAAAACGAGATTCAGGACAGTGGCTCCCTCAGGTGGGAGGAAGCGGGGGGGATGTGACGGAAAAGGACCAGGGAGTGGATGTCAGTTATGATGCATCCAGTTTTCTTGCTGGGTGGTGGGATCACGGATGCTGACCACTACAGATGGGTGGACAGAGAGAGAGGCAGAGCAATGGATACGCAAACGAGGGCCAGGTCCACGCATGGACCAAGGGTGAGAGTTATGTGTCATGATCACAACTAGTCCAATTCTAGGTACCTAAGGCCCCAAAGAAAACACAGAAATTTTAAGAGCTTAGCAAAAGAAATAAATTATAGATTAAGAATTTTAAAATACGGGCGCCTGGGTGGCTCAGATGGTTAAGCGTCTGCCTTCGGCTCAGGTCATGATCCCAGGGTCCTGGGATCGAGTCCCACATCGGGCTCCCTGCTCCTTGGGAGCCTGCTTCTCCCTCTGCCTCTCTCTCTCTGTCTCTCATGAATAAATAAATAAAATCTTAAAAAAAAAAAAAAAAAGAATTTTAAAATACACTGAATTACATTTATTAAAGTAAATAGTATTTTATTATTTTTTTAAGATTTTATTTATTTGAGAGAGAGAGAACAGAGGGAGAGCGAGAAGGAGAAGCAGACTCCCTGCTGAGCAGGAAGCCCGACAGGGGACTCGATCCCAGGACCCTGAGATCATGACCTGAGCCGAAGGCAGACACTTAACCGACTGAGCCACCCAGGCACCCCTACTTTATTATTTTATTATTATTTTTTAAGTCGGTTCCATGCGAGGCTCCGTGGAGCCCAATACAGCGCTGGAACTCATGATCCTGAGATGAAGAGTCAGATGTTTCTCCAACTGAGCCACCCAGGCACCCCAGGAAATAGTACTTTAAGCAGAATACACCAAGTTTTAATCCTTTACAGACGGCCCAAGGAAATGGAAATGTATCTTTTCAACCTTAAACAGAATGTTAAAATGCTGAAGTTTGAGCTAGCTTACCTCTTCTTGAATATACTGCAGTAAGAAGGGAGAAGCTCTTAAATTATCAACAGGAATATTGAAGAAGCCCTGAATTTCCTTCTGGTGTAAATCCATAGTAATGAGATGAGTTAGACCTTTGGAAACAAAGCAGACACCAACACATGAATAGTTAAATAACCAGTCACAGGGTATGAACTAAGCATATATAAAATATGATACAATATATAATAGCTATTAAAAAATTGCTCTCTCATCAAAAAGACTCAGTATCTTTATTTCTCAGATTTTTTAGTTCAATGAGACTGTGAGAGAACAGAAAATACCTATAGTGGTCTCTGCCCCCTGGTTCCTGACACAGGGCTCCTAGAACCCTTGTGAATTCCTAAGTGATAAGAGCACTAAGAGCACCTTTTATTCTGATGAGGTGACTCCCGGTGGGCTCTTGGAGGGGGAGACCAAGAAAGACCAAGGCGTAATTAGAAGTTTGGAATTTTCAGCCCTCACCTCCCATTCTCCAGAGAGGGGAGAGGGGCTGGAAATGGAGTTAATATTGATTGAGGAAGCAGAGGCTTCAAGGAGCTGCGAGGTTGGAGGTGAACAGGTGGAGATGCTGGGAGACTGGTGCATGGTGAGAGGTCACAGGCTCCGCAGCCCTCCCCACATCCTGTACCCCCTTATCTCTTCCATCTGGATGTTTGCTTGTATTCTTTATCATATGCTTTTACGATAAAGTGGCAACCAGTAGGTGAACAGTTCTCCTGAGTTCTGTGAGCTGCTCTGGCAAATTAATCGAATCCGAGGAGTGGGTCCTGGGAACCTCTGATTTACAGCAGATTGGTAGACACACAGGTGACAACTCGGTCTTGCAGTTGGCATGGGGGAGGGGCTGTCTCGTGGGACTGAGCCCTTAACCTGTGGGATCTGACACTATCTCCAGAATTTAGTTAAACTACAGGATACCTAGCTGGTATTCTCATGGAAAATTGCTAAGTGTAGGGAAAACCCCCTACACACTTGGTGACCAGAAGTGTCAGAAGTGACATCTTTGTGTGAGTAGAAGAGACACTTGGGAGATGAATGGGCTTTTCCCTACTCAAAAGCGGGAGACTGAGTGATTTTCTTACACCAAGATACATGATTTTCACATCAATTTATAGTCTTAAAATAGCAAATATAATAGTAATGAAGAAATGTCTCTCATAACTGGAAAAGTTTTAAAAAAGCAAAACCTGCCCAAAAGAGCAGGAAAGTCAACCTGGTGGCCCAGCCAGGATGAAGGCCAGGAGAGAAGAAGAGCAGAATCTTTCTGGAAGGTTCGGTGAGCTAGCCTGCTCCCTTCAGCCAGCTTTTAAAACTCTGAAGACTTTTCAACAGGTTACATACTGTTGAGGTTGCTGGGGTTCGGCTTCCATCAAATTTGGGTGTGTGGGTTTTCTTTCTTTTTTTTTTTGCCTGCTTTGGAACGCTACAGTAGAAACTTCACTCCACAGTAAGTGTCTGTGTTCAAATGCAGTGATATGGGGGCTGTCTTGTCCTTTCCTCTCTGTGCCAGTGCTCTGGGATACGTGGACTCTAGAGTCCCATACACATACACACACACACACACACACACACAGTAACGCTTCTGAAGGTTATAGAAACAAGGGGGAGACACTTAGGACGTGACCTGAAAATACACAACACAAAATAACACATATGGTTTGCAAAATATGCCAATCCATCCTGGACGAGACTAAAAGTTGTTGCCGTGTTAGAGTGCTTGGTTCCAAAAATGTCTTTTTCCCCTTCAAAAAAGACTTCAATGCAATTTTAACTTGTCATTTCAATTTTAAACAAAGGTCTTTGTTTAAAAAATAAGTTGTTCTCCTTAACTTTGTGTTTTAGGGAGTTGGGAACAGGAGAGAATTCTCTGCACTGCTTTCTCATTATAAATTAGCTGTCTTTAAAAATGGTCCTTTTTCAGGGCGCCAGGGCGGCTCAGTCGTTAAGCGTCTGCCTTCGGCTCAGGTCATGATCCCAGGGTCCTGGGATCGAGCCCCGCATCGGGCTCCCTGCTCAGCCAGGAGCCTGATTCTCCCTCTCCCGCCCCCCCTGCTTGTGTTCCCTCTCTAGTTGTCTCTCTCTCTGTGTAAAATAAATAAATAAAATCTTTAAAAAAAAAAAAAAAAAAAGGTCCTTTTCTGCTTAGCGTCCTAATTTAGTTAAGACAAGGGGTTACAATGTCTAAGGTAAAAATCAAACGCCCAGGCCCAATAAATGTCAAGTATCTGCTGTTCTCACCAGCTTTGCACATCATCGAAGCCAGCAATTTAGAAACAATGGAGCCTCTTTTTCTCATCTTGCACTGTTTGCTGTAAGGAAAGTAGGGTATCACGCCGATAATGCTTTTGGCACAAGAGGTCTTACATGCGTACACCATGATCAGGAGCTCCATGATGGTGGTGTTCACGTCCCTGCATCCCAAGAACGTAAGACACGTGATTAATATTTCCCTGTCCCCACAAAGTGGCAGCAGGGTGCTCCTCGCGCCCCTACCGGGACCTAAGGCTCAAGACACAGAAAAGGCATGAACATTCCCTCACGCCGATGACCCTAGTTCCTTTTTCCCTGAAAGAAGAACCCAGTCAGAAGGGAGAGGTTCTACGGGCTCCCACCGCCATGTGCAGCCGCACCCCACACGTCGACCTGTCCTCCGCCATCAGAGACAGACATTCCACACCAAAGTTACTCTGCAATTAGCCCTCCCGATGATGCCCTAACCAGCCCCCGCCCCCCAACTCCCACCCCCAGGCTACTGGAAGATAGGGCTCCAGCCATTCTCCCTCTCTTGTGTCCGCCATCAGCTTGGTACCCTCCCCTGGCTTGTACCCATCGGCTTAGAAGCATTGTTCTTCCATTAGAAACGACTGGTGGCCACTCTTCCCACTGCCCTATTTCTTTGCTCCCCTGTGTGTACGTCTCAAGAGAGCTGTCTACGCTCACCATCTCGCTCTCTCCCAAACACGTGCCAATCCAGGTCATCCATGACCTCCATGCGCCTAGATCCAAGGACAATTCTGCTCCTCTCACCGAGCTGCGGGCAGCAGCTCCCACGGCTGCGCACCCTGCTTGACCCACCTGGCTCCTAGAACTTCCTCGCTGTTCTCCTGTTCCGCCCTACTTGGCTTCTTTGGCTGGTTCCCCTCCTCCCCACCTTTCTGCCCAACACTCATTCATGTGCGCCCCCTTTGGTCTCCCCTTAGCCCTTGGGCTTCTCATCTAGTTTCACAGCTTTCTAGAAGCTGGAGGAGAATCCAGGCCACAGCCCCAGGCCAAGCTTCTCTTCTCAACTCCTGTCCAGCAACACTTTTAGCGTCCTAAAGTGAAAGATAAGATGTATCTGACAACATCAAATCTCATAAAGACCCCGATGGCCAGGCTCTCCGGCAACCTGGCAAGACTAAGAATCCCTGAGTTCACACAAGGTCACGGTTCAGGACAATGCAAAATGAGACATGCAGACAGTTTTAGCTATGGGAATAAGAAACCAACAAGAGGCGGGGCAGAATGATAAGTGTTGAAATAAACCAAAAAGAGGGCACCTGGGTGGCTCAGTTGGTTGAGCGACTGCCTTCGGCTCAGGTCATGATCCCAGGGTCCTGGGATCGAGTCCCACATCGGGCTCCCTGCTCTGCAGGGAGCCTGCTTCTCCCTCTCCCACTCCCCCTGCTTGTGTTCCCTCTCTCGGTGTGTCTCTCTCTGTCAAATAAATAAATAAAATCTTTAAAAAAAAAAAGAAAGAAACCAAAAAGAAAGAAAAGGGACAGGGGCGCCTGGGTGGCTCAGTCGGTTAAGCGTCTGCCTTCGGCTCAGGTCATGATCCCAGGGTCCTGGGATCGAGCCCCACACTGGGCTCCTGGCTCAGTGAGGAGCCTTCTTCTCCCTTTGCTGAGGTTCCCTTGTTTCATTTCCTCTGTGCCACTTACCATCCTCGGCAGAGGATGCTCCTGGGCTAGGAGCCTCTCTCTCTCTCCCTGCCTCTGCCTCTGCCTCTCTCCCTACTCATGCTTTCTCTCTCTCTCTCTCTCTCTGTGTCTCAAATGAATAAATAAAAAAACCTTTAAAAAAACAAAAAACAGGCCGCCTGGGTGGCTCAGTTGGTTAAGCGACTGCTTTCGGCTCAAGTCATGATCCTGGAGTCCCTGGATCGAGTCCCGCATCGGGCTGCTCGGCAGGGAGTCTGCTTCTCCCTCTGACCCTCCCCGCTCTCATGTGCTCTCTCTCATTCTCTCTCTCTCAAATAAATAAATAAAATCTTTAAAAAAATAAAAAATAAAATAAAAAACCAAAAAACAAAAAGAAAGAAAAGGGATGGAAGGACCTGGAAACAGGCAGGATGATATGAGCCACGCTGCTGAAGCCCTCAATCCCAAGTCCAATTTGGCCTTCAAGGCCCACTTATCCCCTTGTGTAAGGCAAGCGACTTCTGTGCATTTATCCAAATGGATTCACATGTGTCTGTAAGGAGATAAAAGTACCACAGACACTCAGGAGCCAGAAGCAACGTAAATTGTAAGTCGTTCTGTGCTCTGCACTTTCCCCACCCCAGTGCCGGAAGGTAGAGGGCAGGTGTGGGCACAGGGGAGCTCCCCACTAGCACCCCGGCCCTTCAGCTGGCGGGGGAAAGAGGACAGCGGTGGCAGGGGCCGCAAGAACTCGGTGCCTCCTAGCCCAGGAGCATCCTCTGCCGAGGATGCTAAGTGGCACAGAGGAAATGAAACAAGGGAACCTCAGCAAAGGCCAGCCACCCCCTCCCTCTGTCAAGTCACACACGCTCCTGGGAAGGCTTGGGATGCAACGACAGGTCCCCTTCAACTCATCTTTCCTAAAGAGCCAGGTGGCTACGAGATTTCATCTCCATGAACCAAAGACCAGGACAGATGTTCAAAATGTAAGTGAAAGTATCTGTGTTCCATGTCTAAATTCTCCTGAAACGTGGCTCTTCTTCCCCCTCCTTGGTATTTGTTATACGTATAAACACAGATCTGACATGCAGCAAAATTTAGAATCTCTAAGCCAAAAAATGATGCCCTGTACAAACTAACTTCCAGACATTAATAAAAACCAAGTGAAGCACTTTCATATACAGAGGCATGTGGGGACATCTGTGGACAGCGTGGTCCTTGATCGAACATGACACCTCACTGCACTGACTCCTCACCAAGCTCACACGGCTGCAGCCTTGACAATTTCCAGAACACACGTTTGTCAAACGTCACACCACACAGGAATACATATTCCTTCAATACATTATTCTTTTATCTTCTCTGCTCATTTAATCTACACAACAAAATAAGAACTGGTGATCATTTTTTAAATTGCCTGCAGTCAAAGCTTTAAGAACCCCAAGTAAGTAAACATCTCTCCTCCCGCCTTTTTTGGGGAACTAGCACAGCTTCCCTCTGAGTTTTATCAAATTCTGGCTATTGAGAGGCAATGTAATGGGTTCTATTCTCATTAAGAACCTCTACTCCAAGACTTGGTTACTTCCACCCTTCAAGAACACGAAAGAACACGTAAAAGTCCACAGTTATGTCAGAAAAATTAGTAAAATAAGACATACCAATTTTCAAATGCTCATAACTCTTCCTGTCCAGTTAGCTCTTATTATTCTAAACACTCGTGCCCAGAAAGAAAAACCCAGAGAGCGACACTGCGTCTGTTGGATAAGGACTCACTTTGAGACAGTTTGGATGATGAAAACATCCTTTCCCCTCACGGATTCTTGAATCTGTACTCTTGTTTCTGGCAGGAAAAGGAAAAAAAAGGCGGGGGAGGGATGAAAAAGACATATAATTTATGTTTTCTAAAATACACAAAAAATCTGTTTCATCCCCAATGTTATAAAATATGGAAACTGGAACTGTTAAAGAAACTCATGAGGTTTTAGGTGCTGTAAAGGATAATGAACACACTGGCATTAATCACACTTTTTATTTTTTTTAGGGGGGGGGGGACAGAGGGACAGGGAGAGAGAGGATCTCAAGCGCGCTCCATGTCCAGCACAGAGCCTGACATAGGGCTCGATCTCATGACCCTGACATCATGACCTGAGCCAAAATCAAGAGTCAGACACTCAAACGGATGAACCATCCAGGCACCCCTAACCACACTTTTTAACATGTCAGGTTACGTTACATGCTTCAAAAAGAATTCCGTTTCTGACTTGGAACAAGTAAACCTACCCTTCTTACTTCTCTCATATAGGGAGTGAGTGCTGTACCACGCTGAGCACATACTCATTCATAAAGCCAGCACAATTAAGAACTTATTAGGCAGGACGCCTGGGTGGCTCAGTCAAGTGGTTAAGTGTCCGCCTTCGGCTCAGGTCAGGATCCCAGGGAGCCTGCTTTTCCCTCTGCCTGCCACTCCTCCTGCTTGTGCTCTCATGTGCGCGCTCTCTCTCTCTCTCTCTGACAAATAAAAAAATAAAATCTTTTTTAAAAAAAATAACTTATTAGGCAATGTTATAATAATGCTGTGAGAGTAAACATAAATAAGGTCCAACATCCCTACTCTCAAAAAATGTGTGATCAGCCACAATTAGACAAATGCAGAATGGGACATTTTTCAAAGTCAATGTCATGCGAAGAAAGAACTGTTCTAGATTAGGAGAAACTAAAGAGATAAAAAAAACATATTGCTTGAGCCAAGAATCCTGGTTTGAAAAAACAAAAAACAAAAACCCAGCTATAAAAGGCTCTCCAGAACAACTAGGGAAATTTGAATACAGACTAGATATTAGATAATTAGAAAACAGTCATTAATTTCTTTAAGTGTGACAATAGTGTACTCATGCAGGAGAACGTGGTTATTCTTGAGAAGCATGGTCAAGCATTCAGGGCTTGATGCCTGCTACTTACTTTCAAAAGGTTCCACACATACATATCTATATTGCAAAATCACACCTATTGAATCCAAGTAGCAGACATACATATGGATATTCACTGCACTATTCTCTGAACTTTTTTACAGGTCTGAACATTTTCATTCAAAATGTTGGAAAAAACAGAATACGTGTTTACCAAGGAATGCGGTACCAAGGAAAGAAAATGAGCTTTAGAGTCAGGGAGATCTGGGTTTGAATCCTGACTCTGCTACTCTGGGGACTTCGTACCTATTATCACCCCTGAGCGCAGTTCTTCAGTATCTAACAGCGAGAAATCCACAAATGTCAGTTCTTGCCTTCCTTCCCAATAGACACCAAGTATTTTCTCTGCCTTCATTCATGAACGCGAAGGATGAACCAACCTCCTCGTGGGCCTTCTGCTACCAGTTCTCCCTTACCCTCTCTTCCAGACTACACAAAGGATATCATGCAATCCCCTTTAGTGGCAGATTAAATCATTTGCAGTTTAGAAAGGTCCGAGCTCAGCACGGGGTCTGTTTGAGATTCTCCCTCTCCCTCTTCCCTTCCCACTTGTGCACTCTCTCTCTCTAAAATAAATAAATCTTAAAAAAAAAAAAAAAGGAATAACAACCAATTAATACTGTGGCCACATGGGGTTTTCTCGTTCTGCCCAAGGGGACATAAACTCAGACAACTGCTGAATTTCCATTCAGTGGACCAGTTGCATGCATCTCTGCGGTTTTTACTGGATGAGGTCTGAGAGCTGGAGTTCAAGCCCCACACACTCTATATCCACTTGGTATCAGTAAGAGCTAAAGCACCACTCTCACCACCTTGCCCACCCGACTTCGTGCGGAACTAACCGGCCACTGGGTCCAACTGTTTCAAGAGTGGAGGATGAGGGACTGAGCCAGCATGCCACATTCCACAAAAAGATCAATGTAACACACGTCCAAGATAGCTCACCTCTGTTAGGTTCCTGGTAAACCTGCACTTTGCCCATCTCCACCCCCAGCCGCCTAGAGAAGAGAAAGGGGGGGGGGAGTTGAAAAGATAATACAGACATAATCCATCCAACATCTTTACAATTTGAGGATGCTTCAGAAATTCATAAAAAGAAGATAAAGCAAAATAAAATAGAGGCACTCTTATTATAAAATTGAAAGTGGATATGCTACTGTTCTGTCACTCCGTTACCTAACCCCCCACGGCCACCTCACGCCGACCCCAAGAAGGCCTCCGGAGTCCTGCTCAGCCTGCCTCACCGACCATTTCCCTGTGCCCTCTGTCCTCCAGCTGTGCCCCTGATCTATACCAACACCTCCTGCTACACACCTCAGGGCCTTTGCACCTTCTGTCCCCTCTGCCTGGAGGGTTTCTCAAGTCACATACCATCCCCTAGGTTTAAAAGGCACCCAAGCCCCCAAGCTAAAGCAGAACAAACTGCCCAAACTGTTTCTTTCATACTGTTTTCTTCACACTATCACCCCCAGAAATTTTGTTTTGTTGACTTCCTTCTTGCCTGGCTCCACAACTAAATATAAAAAGGAAGGATCCTGACTGGTTTGTTCACCGTTAATCCCCAACATCTAGGATCAAGGCCTAGTACCCACCCAGGAGGGTGTTCAATCTTTATCGTTTCTTTTTAATGTATATTTTGTTAGTTAACATACAGTGCAATATTGGTTTCTGGCAAAATTTTATTTAATAAATAACTAAGACTATACTGGACTGTAATCTAGATAAACTATTTTCATAGAGAATACACTCCACTGTTCTTTATAGTCAAGTAATTCTATACACAGGTGGCACCGAACACAATCCCCGGCACTCATGAGGACTCAATAAATGTCTGTTTAGCAAACATGTAGGGGGTTACGACAGTCTGACAAAAAGGTTAGCCCTTGGGGCGCCTGGGTGGCTCAGTCGGTTGGGCGGCTGCGTTCAGCTCAGGTCATGATCCCAGGGTCCTGGGATCGAGCCCTGCATTGGGCTCCCTGCTCACAGGAAGCCTGCTTCTCCCTCTGCCTGCCACTTCCCCTGCTTGTGCTCTCTCTCTGTCAAATAAATAAATAAAATATTTAACAAAAAGGTTAGCCCTTAATATATAGATGAACGCAGATTAACTACAAAATATCTGCTCTCGAGTTGAACAATCAGTGCTCTTGCAATCATCAAATTTAAAACATCACATAATGAATATGGATCTTAATGGTACGATTATAACTCACTCGGCAATCTTCTTTGAGAGCTCCATACACGATGAATTAGAATTTGCTGAAAACAACACCAGACCTCCTTTGGTTATGTTCATCTTGGTTTCTAATTCAGGTGGCGCCACACAAAACATCAAAACCTTCTTGGTTTTCCAATTCTCAGAGCCTAGGAGGATTAAAAATATATTAACAACTGCCAGAGAATATTAAATTCACCTGAATGAACTTTTATTTTTTTTAAATAGCAAATGACTTAAGCTGAAGGAGATTAGTGTTCACCATCATGGAGTCTCTTATGTTACATCTATGTATGGACAAATAAAAAGTTCGTTTGGATTTTAGGGTTCCGAATTTATGGAAATATGTTATATGATTTAGTTAGTTTTCATGACCACTGGGAATAAATGATAAACTTACAAGAAAGGTGGAGCTGAAGAGCTCAGTGTTTTACTGTTTTGCTGCTTAAAGCCAATTATGGACAACCTCCTTTTATTCTCTGACAACAAAAGTCCTCCTGGATTAACACACAGAAAAATGGCAGAGCCATTAGCAAGGACACGGACTGATGGACCCTTAAATAATGAATAAATAACCCACCTATGACCATTATATTTTCCTATAATAACTATTGACCCCAAAGCCCTCCCCTGGCCTGTCAGCTGCCTAATGCCCTGAGCCACATCTAAGGCGGACCTTGCCACCTGCATTTTCCTGAACTGCAAGAAAAGGCCGACCAGAAAATAACCCTGAGGGGGAGTGAGCAGACCACCCAACTGAAAGGCAGCAGGGCATAGACAGAAAAGCCCCCGGCCTCAAAGTCATCAGAGGTGAGGTGGTCATCCCACATTCACGTGCCCTCCCACCTTCCCTTCTCTGGGCTGTGTCCTTATCACCCAAGGAAGGTGCAGGACTTAAGTGCCCCAGCAACAATCTCGAAGGCCACGGGGGCATGGGGGCACATTCCCAGCAAGCACACTGTGCTTCCTCAGTTGCAGCTTTACTTGGGATGGCACCAGGGAAGGCCGGTGGAGATTACGAAAAGAGATGAAGCTGAGCGGCTCTTTTTTGCTGTTCTTCCATTTTAATTATAAGAGTAACACACAAACGCATTCTCCTTGGAAAAATCGGAACCAGGACCGTTTAAGCTAAAGTCACCAGGCCCCTTCCCACCCACCCTCCCAGAATGGACAGTTCTTATTAGTTTGATACGGACACCATCAGACCTTTACGCATTCACTCGTGGCCCTCCCCTCATAAAAAGATAGGACAAAAATACATTTCTAACATTAAAAAAATCATCGTACAAATGTATCTATCATCCTTTTTGTTAAACGATATATTCTGACAACCCAGGGTTACAAAATATATGCCCATCTGGTCCTTTTTAACTGCTGCAAATACTCCATGGTACTTGAGTTGCCTCATTTAGGGGGTCACCATCCTAAACAGGCCTCCTAGTGCATGTGTGCATCTCTCTGCAGTAACTGCAAGAGAACCACTGGGGCCTGGGGATGGTGCAATTTACAGGTACGGCAGCACCAGCAGGCTAGGAAAGCCCGCTTCCCCACAGAGTGCCTCTTAAGGGAAATGTGGAGCAGGGCCATGAAATTTACCTACAGCCTGTGAATTACAAACAGAAACGCAGGCACAAATGGCCAAAGCCCTAAGGAGACCAAGGAGGACTGGTGGTGCCTACCATGGAAGGTGGCTTGGGAGCAGGGATTAGCCAACTACAGTCCACGGGCCAAACCAGGTCCCTCCTAATGCTATTGCTGTACATAAAACTGTATTGGAACACAGCCACGCTCACCGCCTACAAACTGTCTATGGCTACAATGATAGAGTTGAGTGCCGGCCATAAAGCCGAAAAAGAGCTGATCATCTGATCCTCTACAGAAAGTCGGCTGACCCCTGCTTTATGGCATAGTGTGGGGCAGAATGGCTGGTATATATGAAAGAACATTTGCAACACTCGAAGTTGTAAGAGATCTTAAGTATCTTCCGACACTGTCTCTCAACCAATATATGTGTGTTCAGGAACACAGGGTACACGTCTGGAAGAGGAAACTCATTTTCCTGTAGTTGTAAGTATAGGCTTTGGAGTCAAACTCATGTGTGCATCTTGTCTCCTACTTAGTTCCCTGCGAGGCCCTGCATAAATTAATCTCTCTTAACCTCAGTTCCCTCATCCATACAATACATGAATATGGCCCCTACAGGGTCACTGTAAAATTAATTTCTGTACAGCACTTAACAAAGTGTCCCACACAGAGGATCTGCTTGGTAAATGGAAGCTACATAGGAATCAACTGTTAATATTTTGGTTTTCTCCTGAACAAGTACAGTAATACACATAGGGTGGCCCTCTTTTTATATCCCACAAACTTCAAAGAAGAAGATTGCTAAAGTACCACAGTGTTCTTGAGAGGGCTTGGAACACTCAGAAGGAAAGCATCTGAGGGCAGAAAGAGCTCTTAGAGGTCAATCGGCCCATCTACAGGACTCCAAGAAACCACTCCGGGCGCTTGAAGAGCTCCAGAGACTGATGACCACATCCTGAGGGCCCATCCATTCCAAACTCTTTTTAGAACATGTTAAACTTCCTTTCCCTGCAGTCACCACCCCTGGTCCTTGTCCTTCCCTTGATAATTTACAGCAAACATCAAATTCCTTCACTGCAGGGCAGTGCTCCATCTATCTCTAGATGGCTCTCTTAGCTCTGTGTATTCTCTTCTCCAAGCTACTTCCTGGAGCCTTTCCTCACTGGTCATAGTTTAAATGCCCTTCACCACTGACTGTGGCCTCTTAAGTCCCCGTCTTCAGGTACCAGGTTTCTGTAACTGAAACCTAACCTGAGACTACACTCAGAGATGGCACCGGAAGGGGAGGCCATGTGGAAATGGTTATCGATACAGTCATGTTCTGTGACCATTCATTCTACAAGATGTTCAAACCTAAGGGCTGTTGCTAGCTTTGGTTCTCCTTTTCCCTACTGGAAATGGAAGTTGTGCTCTTTACCAAGCTTCAAGAAAAGTGAGTTTTAAAAGATTATCCTCAGAAACATAATCACCAGGATGGGGCTGGCAGGAGGCTCATTAGCACAAAGCTTCAGTGTGAAATGGAACCCACAAACTACAGTTGCTTTTGCATTTATCCTAAATTTACTCTAGAATGTAAATGTGTGAGAATTATTTATACCACGTATGAAAACACACCCTTTTCAGAGACTCTCGGCCCCTCTCAAAAAGCAAATCCTACTCCTCTTTGAATGAGATTTGACAACCTATTGGGTCTCATGAAGGAATCCACACTGAAAGACCACTTGCTTTGGCTGTTGCCAGCAGTCATTTCAAAAGCACTTCTCCATATTTTGGATGAGGAAGGCTCGCATTACAGCGTGATGCTTTCCCTCCAAAGAGCCCACTGTACAAACACCTCCTGTCTAAAGATGCTGGAGTAGGAGGGTGAAGTCTTGGGTCTTCCACAGTCCCTAGCTACCAGTCCTTGGGTAGGTCCCTTGGCCAGGCCTGTGCCTCTCCCTTCCTGACAAGAGAAATAGATGCTTAGTAAAATCAGCTTCCTCCACCAGAATTTAAGGTCCAGGACAGCAGAGATTTTTTTCTCACCATTATGTCCTCTGCTGTACGACCAGAGCACATCGAAGAAGCTCAATGATATTTGTCAAACAACAAACATTTGTTGAGTAAAGTCTGACCTGGTTGAGGTGCAATGATTAACAAATGGAACTAGAAGGCATCATAAAGTGCAAAGAATGATTATTTTTATTAGTGATGTCCCTCACTCAAAAAAAAAAAATGCTTTTTATATCAGTGCTGAAGAGAATTAGTAGGGCAAAAGCCTAAGCTGAATTAATCCTCTACGCTTCTGTGATCCCAGGCACGTTGCCCATCTCTCCATCAGCACGTTTTCTTACAGCAAACATCATTTTGAGTGCTTTGAATTCTTATGACAACTCAATAAAGCAGGCACCAGATGAGGACCCATTTTACACATGGGGAAATGAGGCTTTGAGATGAAGAAACGGGCTCAAGCCTGCATGGCCTCCAAGCAGCAGACATTAGCTCAGTTTCAGTCTGACTTGGGAGCACTGACAGTTGTATGCACAGCTTGTCTCTCCACAGCACAGAAAATGACTGGACTCCCCTGCTGAATTTGGCATTACAGCGAGCAGGATCGGACAAACATCCAGATTTTGAAAAATGTCTACAGCAAACATGCTTGTTTAGGAAACAACTGATATCAAGTGTTAAAGAAAGAGCACAACACAGAACTTTGATTCAGTATTTCCCCTTTTGGGGATTTATACCAAGGGGAAGAAAGAAAAAAGCCCTATATGCTCAGTGATGGTCACTGCAAGATTTTTTTAAGAGCAACACTGGACATGTGGAAAGGATCCATAATGGGGTAATTAAGTAAAATTCTGAATATATATTCAACACAATAAAAACGGTAAATCTCCGGGACTATGCAGAAGTCCTTCGGTTAAGTAAGAGCAGAATTTCATTTCCTCTAATCAAAACTGGGTGATAATGGTACAGACCAGGTCAGGATAGGAATACGGACAGGAGTAAGGGTATGACTTAGTGGAGTTCAATAGTGTGACTGAATTATTTTTATTTGCGCATTTAAATCTTTTCAACATTAGAAATCACACTTCCTCATGCCCCAAATCCCCATTCCGCACTTCCTTATTCTTTGTAAAAGCTAAAACAACCTAAACTGCGCCAGTACCAAAATAAAGGGGGGGAAATCCTTACCATCCATGTAATACACTGGGGGAAAACATTTTATAGTGAAATAAGACCTAAACATGACATCAAGGTCCTCCCTCCTGGGTGAGTTCTGGGCGGAATAAGAAAAAAATTAAAATAAAAAATTAAAAGCCGGCTACAGGGTAACAAATGTCTGCGACGAGCAAGGCCAGTCAACTCAACATCACGGGCCGTGTCAGATTAGGGGCCGGAGACGGCTGGGCTGGAGGCTTGTTTTCTGAGCCGCCCGGCCGCAGGTCCCCTAATTAGGGCTCGACTCCCAACGGCGCCTGGAGCGGGGTAACCCCGGGGCCCGCGCGCCGGGCCCGAGCCCTGCGGACTCCGGACGGGAAGGGAGGGAGGGAGGAAGGGGGCGGCTGCGGGCGCGAGGCCGGGGTCGCCCCGCTGCACCCCCCCAGCCGCCGCCCCGGGACCGCGCGACCCGTCGGCGAGCCGGCGCCGCGGGGCTCCCCGCCCCTTGCACCTGCGCCCCGCAGCGCCGGAGCCCGCCGGTCCGCGCCGCCACTCGTCGCTGGCTCCCGCCCGCCTACCTGGCCCCGACCCCAGCCCCGGCCCCGCCGCAGCCTCGGCTGCCGAAGGAAGAAAGCGCCGGCTCTCCAGACGGCTTCTCTAGGAGCAAAATGGCGACTCCATGCGCAAGAACGGCGTCCGCGGCGACTGCGAGGCCTGTGGGCGGGGCAGGGGGCGGGGCCGGGAGCCGCGATTGCGGAGGCACCTGGCTTGGGGCCGTGGGCGTGGCCCACCCGAGCGGAGCAGCGAGGCCGAAGAGCCGGGCTAGAGGGGTGGGGCCAGGCCGGCGCGAGGGGCGGAGGTGGGCGGGGCTGAGCCTCACTGGGCCCCTGGGACGTGGCTATCCCCCAGGTGGCTGTGAATGAGAGCGAGCGTGTGGAATCACAGATGTCTGGGTTCGAGTCTTTACTGGCCTGTAACCTTGGGCAAAGTCACTTCACCCCTCCGAGCCTCGATTTCCTCATCTGAAAAATGGAAATGATAGTAGCATCCATGTCATGGGGTTGTGAGGATTAAATGAGATGGCACCTGCAGAGCTTTTTAGCTCAGTTTCTGGCAAGTAGTAAATGCTCCGTTGTTATTGTAATTATTTCCTTTCTTCTTTTGTTATAAAGGAATTGGTGCTTTTGGTATCCGTTTCCTGAATTCCTTATAATTTAAGTGTGTTTAGCCTTTATTTTATATATATAACATAATAATAGCGACCATGTATGTAGCATTTATCATGTGTCAGACCAAGTCCTCTTAAGTGCTTAACATATATTAACCGTAATTTATTTAATCCTCACAAGAGAATGAAGTAGGCATTTTAACAGCTCTGGGAACTGAAACACCGACGCTGAATGACTTGACAAATGACTAAGTGGACAAGAATTGCAATCCAGGATGCCCGGCACCAAACTCTGCACTAAGCTGACCCGTATACCGCACTGCATCTCCAACTGTGCTTTGGATTTTTCACAAGCATCAGGCACGAAATCATTCATCAAAAGTTGGGCAGCTAGCTAGAAGCAGCCAACCTCTTATTTTACAATTGCGGAATACAAGCATCTCAATTTATGAGTTATAAATTGGGTGATACTTCATGAAATGGAGTCATTTAAGACATCTCCTTTGCCTGACAACTGTACAGGGACATACTTCTGCAAAGAGCGAGGCCCATGAGCCCACTGATACATCCGCGGCACAAAACTGAATCCTCTCCAAACGGAACTCTGCTGGGTTTTCTTCACTTCTTCTGCACTGTGATCTAACCCTCGTCCAACCCCACCTGCCTGCCTTGGCCAGCAGCGTGGGATCCACCCTTCACGCCACCTGTTGCCCTATGAATGGATCTGACCAGTCAGGACAGCTCATCTCTCTCTCAGCTTGCTGATTGGCTCCAAGGATAGGCCGCTGAGCCAACGGGAGCCCGGGAGACACAATCTCCAGCCTCCTGGGGGGACTGAGGCTAGAGGCTTCCTCTCTTGCTATCTGTCAGGATACCTGGAGGGGAACCGACAGAAGAAATGCTCAGAGAAGAAGAAAGGGGGAGCGGGGCGCCTGGGTGGCTCAGTCGTTAAGCGTCTGCCTTCGGCTCGGGTCATGATCCCAGAGTCCTGGGATCGAGCCCCACATCGAGCCCCGCATCGAGCCCCGCATCGGGCTCCCTGCTCAGCAGGAAGCCTGCTTCTCCCTCTCCCACTCCCCCTGCTTGTGTTCCTGCTCTCGCTATCTCTCTCTCTGTCAAATAAATAAATAAAAATCTTAAAAAAAAAAAAAGAAGAAGAAGAAGAAGAAGAAAGGGGGAGGGATATAGACGAGCCCCGTTGAGTTTGGCTGAATCTGAAGTCAGGAGTTCCCTGGACTTTTCAATGATGAGAGCCAATAAATTTCTCGCCCTCTACCCTCTTAAGTCATTGCGGACTGGGTTTCAATCATTCATTCGCAGGGGCCTGCGGGTTCTCGCCCAGCTTACTTGTTGTTCTTTCTCACCAGCCTGGTCCTCTATCTATGAACTACAGGGCCTTTGCACGTGCTGTTCCTGCCTCCCGGAATGCTCTTCCTCCTGCAGTCCTTTCCTCCATCCACTCCTACTGAAACTGCATCTCAGCTCAGCTGTCATCTTCAAGCCTTCCCTAAACACCCCCCATCTACTTCATGTACTTTTTCTTCATTAAGCTTATCATGATTGCTAATTATTGCTAATTGTTTTACTTGGATGATTATTTCATAAATATCTCCACCCCAGGTCCCATAGACTGTAAGTCCCGTTTGGGCAGGCCCTTTGTCTCTTTTGCTGACCACTATTTCCCAGTACTCAAAACAGTGTCTGGCACAAATATGGTACTCAAGAAATGTCTGTAAAATGGGTGACCTCAGATTTACTCCCCTGGTGGAAAGGAGGTGGGCAATAGCACAGAATTATATGATACTCGCACCACACAGAGAGAACGTTCTGGAAATTATACAGATCGGCTCTCCTGAGCCAGTATGGCTTGCTCCGATATAGCACTGCTTCCAGGATTCCAGTGAAATGGTTAGTTTCTCATCAGTTTCCCCTCATTGCAGGCACTTAGCTTCAGGTTTCCTTTGCTCTTTTATATCAAATACCACTTGTCCATCTGCCTTCCGTTTTCCAAAGACTCTTTTGAAATCCCTGGGGCCGATGTCTTATCTCCCATTATCATTATCCTTGGGGTTTAGGCCATGGGGGGAAGCTGTGGTGGACATCCTGCCCCGATGACCCAGCAGTGACCGCAGCCCCAGTCACCACCTGACAGCAACTGTAGGAGAGACCCCAAGTGAGAATCACCCAGCTGAGCCCAGTCAAACCACAGAACATTGAGAGATAATAATACATTTTTGGATTAGGTCACTGAGGTTGGAGATGTCTTGCTACACAGCAATGGGTAATTAGCAAGAAAGGAGCAGAACCAGAATTTAAAGACTGTGGTCAGTTTCACTTGAATGCAGTTTTGGGTTAGTCTATTGCTAAGCTTGAGAATCCCTTGCACACTTGGAGGTTTACAAGTCTTTATATATTATGGAAGTGATCAGCCTGCCTGCATCACTTCATTGACCACATTCAAGGGTCAAACTTTTGCACATAAAATATGAATCAAGACACCAAGCCTAAGACATTCCCCTCCAACCTTTTCTTTTTAAAGGAAGAGAATCTTTGCTATAGTTTTTTAGAAGTTTGTCAGAAGGGTGGTAGAGCAGAAAACACAGACTTCTCCTTCAAATAAATGTTAAAATGAAAATTCAGGGACTTGACTGTCAGTCACTAGGACCAGAGTCTGCATCCTGCCTCCTCACTGCAGAAATGACCTCAGACAGAGCAGTGAGGGCACTGCCCTGAGCTTCAGTTTCCTCACCTGAAAAATGGGTACTCAGATTAGCAGCTATATGGGGATTCAGGGTAGGGAATGACCTTTCCGTGGAGTCCAGGAGTAAGAGGCCACCAGGGGAAGCTGGCCCACCCTGCATCTCTGGCCATCAGGAATAAATGGCTTTGTTTCCTCTCCAAGTGGAGGAGGATGGCAGCTGGTCTGACTGTGGGAGGCAACAGAGACCAGTGGCCTGGTCAGTAGTCAAGGGGACCTTGGAAGCTTCCATCATCGAGCCCTTTCCCTTATCCTTTGGATTTTCTTTTTCTATATCCCCCCCCAAAAATGAAAAAAGCTTCATAGTTTTCGTGATTATTAATATTTACATGTAAAAAAATTCAAACACACAAAGAGAAGAAAGTAAAAAGGTGTTTGCCATTATCTTACCGTGGAGAGATGCTCACTCCTGATATGATTTTTTAAAGATTTATTTATTTATTTGAGCGGGGGGGGGGGAGAGGAGCAGAGGGAGAGAATCTTCAAGCAGACTCCCTGCTGAGCGCGGAGCCCAACACGGGACTTGATCCCACCACCCATGAGACCACGACCTGAGCCAAAATCAAGAGTCTTTCGCTTAACTGACTACGCCACCCAGGCACCCCACTCCTGATATTTTTTTAACCTCCCTTTTCCACTTACCAATTGATTGCAGACAGTTCATGTTAATGAACTTAAGTCAAGGTCATCGTCATGTGTACCGTGGACTAAACAGCATAGACTTGGGAACGAGATGACCTCTGTCCAAATTCCTTCTCCCCTACTCACTGGCCATGTGACCTTTACCTTTCTGTCCCTGCTTCCTCAGCTATAGGAGGGGAATGATCACAACGTCTACCTCAGTAGGTTGTCGTGATGACCAAGTGACTTATTATCTGGCACAGAGTTGCCAACCACTTTCTATTAGCCACACTTACTATGAACTACGGTAATATGGATGGACCATGATGTTTTTAAACCACCTCTAATTCTGAGCACTTTTTACTAATCTACGCAACCTGTCTTTGCACTTTTGCCCAAGTATTTTTTCACGTTAAATTTCTCCAGGTAAGCTTGTTGATCAAAGGATATGCGCTTTTCAAATTTTGTCCCCAAGAAATTTTGTATTAACTTATATTCTTGCCAAAAACATGAAGAGTGTCCATTTTTTCTCCTCATCCCCACCCACACCAAGCACAATCCTTTTTTTTTTTAATTGGCCCAGTGGATGGTCAATGTTTCCTGGGCTTTTAAAATTACTTGTCCAGGGCGCCTGGGTGGCTCAGATGGTTAAGCGTCTGCCTTTGGCTCAGGTTGTGGCCTGGTCAGTAGTCAAGGGGACCTTGGAAGCTTCCATCATCGGGTCCTGGGATCGAGTCCCGCATCCGGCTCCCTGCTCGGCGGGGAGCCTACTTCTCCCTCTGCCTCTGCCTCTCTCTCTCTGACTCTCATGAATAAATAAATAAAACATTTAAAAAATAAAATAAAATAAAATAAAATAAAATAAAATTACTTGTCCATATCAAACCGCCTGTAACTCCCTGGCCACCTTGCTAGCTGACCTTCAGCTCCATTCATTCACTCAACAAATATTGATTGAGTACCCACCACGTGCCAGGCCCAGTTAGAGAGCTGGGCCTCAGCAGAGAATGATGAAACACCTGCCTTACGAGATGACCAAGAGGTAGGTAAGCCCCTGCATGCTAAGTGGTTGCCAAGTGCCTGCTTTAGCACCCAGGAAATGATACTATACAAGTGAGACCTTCGTAAATAACTATAGAATATAAATTTTGTAAATATATAAATGATATTATAT